GCAGGCTTTGATAATGCTTGGAATCAGATTTCAGTTAATCTGAATTTTAAGGGATAGCAATTCAAGAAGTTACTAGATCAGATCATTCTGAAAATTGCTGTCTACTTTTAGTAATTAGTAAAGAAATGTAATTAATTTGTATGTGAGAATAAATCTAGCACAGACCTGGGCAAAATATGGCCCACAGGCCAAATCCAGCCCTCCAAGCCACTGGATCCAGCCCGCAGAGGCAGTGGGGAGACCCAGGCAAGCACCCCAGTTTGCCCCACAACCCCATCCACTGAGCAGAAACATGACTGCAGGGCTCCGTTTCTGTTTTAAAACAGGAGGGGAAGAAGGAAGTTTTAGGAGCCTCCCCACCTCTAGCATATTCCCATTGGCCAGTTTCTGGCAGACCCCAGCTAATGCGAGATGCTTGTTGGAATAATAGGCAGCAAAGAAGAACCATGCCCCCTCTCCTCAACTCAGTTATTCATAAAGCACATCGCCCGACAGACTGGCTGGCTAGGAAACATTTTAAGCTCTGCAGGCAGGCAGGCTAGCTTGACAGTTGGCAAGTAAGTCTCTTGGCCACAGCCTGCTTCTAGAACCCCAGCCCTTTCCTGCCCCCCCCCCCACACACACTAAACATACCCAAAACCCGCTGTCCCCCTCGTACGCCCATACCTCCTCCCAGATCTGTCACCCCAGTCCCCTGCCCCAGATCACAATCCCCTCCTGCCCTAGGTCACATCCCAAACCTCTGCACTCCAGTCCCCTGTGCTAGGTCACAACCAACTCCTTTGCCCAAACTCCCTCCCAAACTCCATTCTCCCTCCTGTACCCCAATCCCTTACCCCAAGCTCCCTTCTACACCCAATCTCCATTCCAGACCCCGCATCTCCTTCCTTAATATTATGGAAGAGTGCAGCCCTCGACCACTTTCTAAAACCTTGGAGTGGTCCCCTGTCAAAAATTATTGCCCACCCCGGTCTAGCAACTGAAGATGTTCGTAGGAATAGTATAAATTTGTAAAGTTCTGTGCTTCAACAATCATGCCATTACCAAACTACAAGAAAGCTTATAAACAGCTTTCCTTTAATGTTTCAAGCAATGTAGAGGCCATTTTCAGTGTAAGTTCCATGTCAAATTATAACCATAGTCCTATGCACCTTAAAGACTAACAAATTTATGTGGGCATAAGCTTGCATGGGCTGGAGTCAAGCACTCAAACTAGAAAAAGCCAGAATGAAGGTTGCCTTAATTCAGGCCCCTTGTGCATGCATTATATTGTAATCTTTAATTATATGATGACATAGAAAGACCTCTAACTCCTTCAGTGAATAGTGTGGACCTGCTCTGGGGATGAATCAGAATTGTGTATATAGTACAAGAGGTTGTTTTCTGTAAGGGTATGTCTACACTACAGCGCTATTTTGAATTAATTCAAAATAGTTAATTCGAATTAAGCTAATTCAAAATAACGCATGTATACACAAAAACTATTTCGAAATAATGTTTTGCTATTTCGAAATAGCACATCCACACTGAGTGGACCCTGAACCAAAGTTAAGGATGGCTGGAACCAGTGCTGGTAGGGCATCATGTTAGGACTTAGTGTGTGGGGCTGCTGTCTGAGGCTAACTGAGCTCCGTGCTTATAGGAACCCTACCCCCACCCTGGACAGACAGTTCTCAGGGTTCCCCGCTTGCTTGTCTACCTCAATGAGGGACAGCAAAGCCGTCCTGTCTTGGAGTGCCCTGAGTGTCCGAACTTGGGACACCACAGCACTCAGCCACATGGAGCCAGAGCTGCCCCTGGGCACGCTGGTGCATCTCGTGGGGTCGTTGCCATCAACCCGGCTGCACTTGCTGCAGGCTGCCATCTGGGGGGTTCATCAGGGGGCTGTCAGGATCCAGGAGGCCCTGAGGGAGAGCGCCCACCCTAAGAAGCCCTCTGAGCCTCCTTGGTCCTGCCCACAGGGGGCTCATGCCCCATTCCTCCCTCATGTCCTTCCACTTACCCCTCTCTAGCCCCCCTTCCTGATGTCAAATAAAAGGGATGAACCTCTGGTGAGATTGGGAAAAGGAGGTAGGAGAGGGGAAGAGAGAGGATGGGAGAGGGGAGGGAGAAACCTGTGAGGAGGGAGCTGGAAAGAGGGAAGCAAGGGGAAGAAGGGGGAGGGGAAGCTCAGGGTTGAGGATCTCACCGGACCAACTTGACTTTCATGCAAACCTGCTCCTGGGTTCGCATGTGATCTTTGGTGGCCGGGCTGACAGCTATCCTGCCTTAGACAGCCGTGTTCTTCCGTCTAGTGCGGAGATCATGGACGTTGGGGGCATCTCCCCCAAACCTGAATAAGGTCCATGATCTCCACCCTGGACCAGGAAGGCGCCTGCCTTCTCCAGCCCCTATCAGGCTCCTGGGAGCTGGCAGACTGCTCCTGGGGGGGGGGGGCGGGCTGCCAGTGGCTTGCTGGCTCATGTTTTGAGGCCACTGGGTCAGGGACCCCGGTGGCCACTGTTGGCTCCGGGCTGGCAGGCTTGGAGCTGGCACAGGCACTGTGGCCAGGATCTACCCCTTTAATGGCTCCAGGGTATTAACTTACCAGGAGAGTAAGTTTTCCTGGTTGTGCCCAGAGTGGCGACCAGGGCTCCCTGGGAAGGGCGGAGGCCCCCTATTTCAAATTAAGTGTCTACACAGCACTTAATTCAAAATAGCTATTTCGAATTTGGCGTTACTCCTCGTAGAATGAGGTTTACCAAATTCGAATTAAGGGCTCTGCTATTTCGAATTAAATTTGAAATAGCAGTTTGCATGTATAGACGCTATTAACGTTAATTCAAAATAATGGCTGTTATTTCGAATTAACTTTGCAGTGTAGACATACCCTAAGAAAGTTATGGAGTGAAAGAGGCAAGATAGAATAGGATGACAGCAGTTGGCTTTCTGGTTACTGAGAGCTGCCTCTGGACAACTGAAGACTATCCCTGCCTTTGCCACACAATTCTGTGATATGTGATACTAGCAATTTAGTTACACCAAAATGTTCATAGTTGATTACTGAGTGTTCCTTATTTTTCTGGGTGTCTGACTTGATGTTCTGCAGTCTTGATTTACAGAATTGCTGAGTACATATAGCAGAAACTGCAGACAATGAGAAGTGACATATATTGTAAAATGTTATATAGTGCAAAGAACTCTAGAAAATCAAGTCCTAAATGCCTCAAATTGGACACTCAAAATTAGTAGATACTATTACACTCAATATTGCTGTACTTCCATTCCCCATCTATAACATCAGAATGATACGCCCTCACATAACAGAGATGGTGTAAAAATAAAGTGGTATCCATCCTGTCCTTATCAGCATCTTGTCTTACTTCCGCTGACTTTGAGATGTTGACAATACATATAGTTTTTAATCAACTGTTAACAGATAATTTTTCTCTTCTTTCCTACTTTTTTTCTATCTGCAGCACAAAGAGCCATTTTTCCAAAGAAGCCTTATCATAATCTGTTCAATTTCTGTTTTGGTGGTGCAACTGTGTCCATGCATTCACTTGCATGTATTGTTTTGTGTCTATGAATA